TCTCTGTGAGCCTGATTCACACACACACACACACACACACACACACACACACACACACACACACACACACACACACACATAGTAGGAGGGTTTATATATCTGGAAAGCTGCTCTCTAACTGAAATCAGCTTAAAGAGTGATTGGAAAGGAGTAAGAACTGTAAAAATAGTCCTCTTAGATATCTGGACGTACACACTGAGGCAGTAAGGCTGAAAGTGGCTGAAGCAGAATGTCCTCGGGGATTTTATCATGAGACTACACACAGAGATCAGGAATGAGACTTGCTATGGTGTACTGCACAGAGATTGCTTATGGCTACTTTTCTGTGTGTGTGTGCGTGCGTGCGTGCGTGCGTGCGTGCATGTGTGCGTGTGTGTGTGTGTGTGTGTGTGTGTGTGTGTGTGTTGTGTGTGAGGGGGGGTGCAGCTTTATGACAGATGTCGTCTTAACTGGACTAATGGAAACCACTTCAGCCACTGCCTTTAGCTACACACACACACAGACACACACATGAGCCCTGTGGCCATGTCTATAAGCCCAATCCACCTGAAGGCTAACATGCACACACGCTTTGTCGTCACATTTAGTCAACAAACAGACTAAACCCGTTGCCTTAAGTAGAGTAAAAAAATAGCTTTTGTCTCCGTTTTGAACTAATTCTGATGCAGCCTGTCACTTTATCTTAATTTGTCTAAAGTGTCTCTTAAAGAGCTTTGAATGGGAGATAAATAGCCTTAGGACACTGAAAAGCTTTCATGATTATTTTTGGGCAATGTGTCTTTAGGTATTTGGTTGTACAAAAGAAAGAGTGAGACAAAAAGATTTGAGGTGAGAGCAATGAGTTAAACTTTGGCCAGCTGAGTCACCGTTCCCCTAACCCTCCTGGAGGCTTGGCTTCAGCCCAGAAAGATCAAACATTGGCAAAACATGCAGGACAATGGCAGGGTTTTTGAATAAGATTAAATGCAAAGGTTCCTGCCAACACTTGGATGAGCTTAGAGATGACTTCTTCATATAAGGTTCCTTGAATGAAACTTCACATGTTCATGTAAATATTAAGTATTGTTAGCCAAGTTGTGTAGATTCACACTATTTTTTCCTTTTAATTGAAGAGAAGAACAACATTTTAAAACATGTCTATTTTGAGGCTCAGTGGGCGCTGTGGATGGAAACTGAAAGTGAGGATGTCAAAGCAGTTTATGTTCAGATCTCCGTCATTACTTGGAGTCATGAATTATTGAATACTGAACAAGAAAATGAAGTTGAAGTTGTTTGATTAGGTCCCTATAAAACCCAAAACATATTAAGATATTGAGTTAATCCACAACCAGTAAACCAAGTCCTTTTGGAATTACAGTAAAATAAACTGTAAACGTATTCCTTAAAAAAGATTACATCTTAATGAATTTCTCATTTACATACTAAGAATTCCCTTATCAGTAAAAGTAGTAACACCTCTTTTCTCAGGGACTAAGGCCCCGTCCACACGGAGACGAAACGGAGACGAAAACGAACCGAATTCGATATCAAAAAAGTCTTCCTTCCACAAGGAATCGGCTCAAGAAACGTGTCCGTCCACACGCGACCCGCTGGAGACGCTGTAGTACATATGCCGGGCCTGTAAGTGGCGAAAATACACCAAAAGCAGCAAATAAGACTGATGACTATTATTATATTATATTATTATTGTTGCTGATGGTTTTGGTAGAAGAGCTGTAAATGTTGCACTAAAATCTGCATCATGGTCAGTCGCGTCTGGAGCACGAACGCAACCCTGTGATCTGCCATTGTTGTTGTTGTTGTTGGCAAAACGCATCAGCATTGACGCGGGTGACGCGGGGGTGAGCAGGAGTGGTGGGGGGAGGCGGGGCTATGGCGTCATCGTTTTAAGGGAATGATGGTATAGTGCGTACTAGGCCTGTACCCGAATATCTGAATATTCGAATATTTGTTCGTTGGAGTACTATTCAGGTTTCAATTTCGTTATTTTTTTTTTTGTTTTTGGTAGCCGCATCTCCAATATCAACGTAAGAGCTTGTGCCTCTTCGGGGGTAGCTAACACTTAACCATAAACGTTATTGTTTACTTTCTCCGTCTTTATCCGTTAATCTCCGTCACGTTGTTTCCATGGCAACAACAACTTCCTTTCAACAGCGCTAACTCTCCTTCAAATAAAAGTATGTCAATACAAAATAGTAAGCCAAGCCAAATTACACTTAAGACATATACAACTGCAAGTGTTGAAGCGGTTCACTGCTGATTACTACGCACCCCCGAATATTCGCTGATGATTACGACCGAATATCCGGAGCCCGAAAAATAGTATTCGGGACAGCCCTAGGGCGTACACACGGAGCCGCAAACGTTTCGTCCTCAGACCTACCCACTCTGGGAGCCGTTATCAACGGGCTCCGAATCTGCGTTTCCGTGTCGGCCTCGTGTGGACGAACCGTCTATACGATAGAGAATGTTAGCGGATTAAACTGATATCGTCTCCGTGTGGACGGGGCCTAAATTGAGTGTAATCTAGTGAGATTTTTGAAGCCAATGCAGATCCTGGCAATAAACCGATTTCAGGAACCTGTCCTTCTTAATGTGAACCGACAGTATTTCTGCCTCGCTGGGTTTTTATTAGGTCTCTATTATTTTTGCATTTAATAATTTGTGTTCTGGAGCATAGCACTCCAAATCCTACACGTACAAAATAAAAATGTAAAAAAGAAACACAGATTAGTTGTGTTTTTTATTTTTAAGGATTAACCAGAATGTGACCTCCGCTGTGGATTTGTATTGCCTTTGATTTTTGTAACACAAAAAGAATCATATTTGCTTTGATTTTGTCACAGCAAAGCCTTGTGGGAGACCAAACTCCACAGATGCACAGCGATCCCTCTGTACGTCTGAAGTGTGAAATATCTGCAGCGGATTTTACTAACCTGTCACTTCCATAACAAAAAAACAACTCCCTCATTAACAACCATCCGCTGTATGTGATGTGTGTGTGTGTGTGTGTGTGTGTGTGTGTGTGTGTGTGTGTGTGTGTGTGTGTGTGTGTGTGTGTGTGTTTGTTGCAGAAGTGTTTTTCAACATTAAAAAAAGAAATACTTTTACAATACAAATCACATGGCTACCTCCCAATGAAAACCTCACATGCCCAATTTTGGTGTTTTCCTTGGTTCACATGTTGCTTTGCAGCTCTGTGTCCGTTGAGAATTTCCCTGCAATGCCTTCTTATCACTTTCATTGGAAAGGACACATTGTTTAAAAAAAACACTTATTCAGTGCTGCTTGCTTAACAACAAGGGTGACATGGGGATATACGATCTCAGTAGGTGTCCTGAGCCTAAAATGTATAGAAACCATGGAAACACGATTGTTTAGTCGATGAATGCATGGAAATAAATCTGAACGCTTCAGACGTATATTCAGTTGCAAAGGCCCATTCAAGAGTATAAGGCAGTAGTACAGTTTCGTAAGGCTTTCTATTACGGATTTCATTGAATCCAGTCCATATTGGCCATGAAGACATTACCTTTTAAGTATGGCTCTAATGGGAGAAATGGGCATTAAAATCTACTGCACACCAGTTGTTTTGTGCAAAATGTATTTTAAACGACAGCTAATGGTAATATTATCTACATCAGTTCATATTTGACCAGTGTTGGGACTAACGCGTTACTGTAACGCAACTACTTTTTGCGGTAACTAATAGCGTTACTAGTTACCTATTCCCATTAAGTAACGCCGTTATAGTTACTGTGATTTAAATGGGTGCGTTACTGCGTTACATTATGTGATGGAACTGAACCCAATCTCCCTGCGGATGTAATTTACAGGCGAATACAGCGATATCCTCTCACAGCACCATGGAAAAGTGAAAGTAACCAGAGAGGAGTGATGATTGGTTAACGCGGGGTAACATTTCAGGGTAAGCCAATCAGAGGCAGAGTTGGGCGGGTCTTGCCTTATGGGGAAAATACACACACGAACACTTGCTAATGCTAACAAACACACACACGGCAACGCTCACCACCAGCACACACACACACAATGGCAGATGCAAGTATCAGCGAGAGCAGCAGCGCATTTACAACTTGGAAACCACTATTTCCAATTTGTGGGGATAAAGGACGCAAAAAATATTACGGACACATTTAAACTGTGTGCAGGATGGAAAGCATTGTCCACATCGAATAGTTGACTCTGGGTGACATGTGGCGATTTGAAAGAATCGTTTTTTGGCTGTTTAGATGGTGTTGCTCCATCTGGGTCACTGCCGGTGGTTGAGACGGTGGGGTCTTTGGCGACTAGTTTTATAGCCCCATGCACATTAGTTAGGTGCTTGCTGCCCATCGCAACGGTCGAGTCTGTTGCCTTCAGAGAACTAGTCAGCAAAAAACAACACAAAAACTTGTATTTTTATTGTTATTATTTTTAAAGTAAAGTAACTTGTTACTAGTTACTTTTATAATTTAGTAACTAATAAAGTAACTAGTTACTTTTTTGAGAGTAGTAACTATAACTATTACTAGTTACTTTTTAAAAGTAACTTGCCCAACACTGTATTTGACTCATACAAACAGGGCTTGTTTTGGAGATGACAGTCATTAAAGGATACATTTGCTTTCCCTTAGAGTTAAACATGCAGATTTGAACTTTGAATATGATTTTTTCACTGGCAGAGTTTGAGAAATCAAAGCTGCGGAGGACCAATGGAGAAACTGACAGACAGATGTTCAACATTGAAATGTCCGTCTCCAAACTCCCACGCAGCATGTCTGTTAGAGTGATTGACTGGAGGTGCGTACACGCAAATGCTGTCAGGCACTCTAACAGACATGCTGCGTGGGAGTTTGGAGACGGACATTTCAATGTTGAACATCTGTCTGNTTCCAATCACTCTTTAAGCTGATTTCAGTTAGAGAGCAGCTTTCCAGATATATAAACCCTCCTACTATGTGTGTGTGTGTGTGTGTGTGTGTGTGTGTGTGTGACTGTACAGAACGTGATGCTGGAGGAGGGGGAGGGGTACGCCATCATGCTGTACACCTGGAGGAGCTGCTCTCGAGCCATCCCTCAGGTAACATCCCTTTATTATCATCAGATCATAAATATATCTCATCCTTCATGGACTCATGTCTCCCCTGTCGGCAGTTATGACCCAATAATGCATGTTTTTATTTCTAATGTAACCGTGCAGTATTGTCTTAACCGTGTGTGCTCCAGGTGATCTCAGCGAGCGAATGGAGAGACATGCAAAAGCTTCCCCAGGTTTGACTTATTTCTTATGGATTCTTTTCGTGTCTCAGGTGAAATGCAACGAGCAGCCGAACAGGGTGGAGATCTACGAGAAGACGGTGGAGGTGCTGGAG